GATCATTCCTTCCCCCTTCGTCCAGCTTGTGTAAGTTAGTTGGGCTCTGCTCCTGTGAAAATCTTGCTGTGATTCACTAGCTTCATCGTGGAGATCATGCAATTATGCTATCCCTGGCAAACGGGAACGACCTGTTGAACTGACTGTGTTAAGCAACAGTGCAATAGTGAGCGTACAGTACTGCAAAAAGCGAACATGCACAGCATGTCAGCCATGATGTTCGCTTCGATTGTTCATTACTAGCAGGCAGTGTTACCCAATCTCATCGATCAGTCAATATCAATTCATCCATGTCGCTAATATGAGTATCTAACAAGTGAACTTCATTCATATAGAATATATAAGTCACTATGGGAGTGTCGATAGCTAAGTCGATATGTCCGAGTGGTTAAGGAGACAGACTCGAAATCTGTTGGGCTTTGCCTGCGCAGGTTCGAATCCTGCTGTCGACGATTTCTTTTTTTTTTATTATTTTTGTCTCCAGCGCAGGTTCGATCAACTGGAAAAAGCAGATACAAAAAAATTCGATATCAGATTTTGATTTTGATCTTTGGTAGTGGTTATTTTCATGAGGAGAATCGTCTTTGATCAAATAGAAATAGCTGCTCTTATCATCTTACGTGCTCTCGTGCCTCTCAACCTGGTAGTGCCTTTCATTCAGAGATCATTTAGGTTCTTTCACGAGAAAGGGAGGAAAAACAACGGAGACCACAGCACTAAAAACCACATGAAACAGAATATGGAAGAAGCTTTATGCGGTAAATTTTCCTCTCTTTTTTGAATTGACATAACTAAATCAATACTGGGTGTTGTGAAACACATGTTGAGACATTATTAGCATTACCGCATTCGTTGAGATAGGTTTCAGGCTAAACAGTTCCCGATCGAATCCCAGCACAAAAGCGGTATGTAGATCGATTACACAAGCAGAAATGCAGCGCAAGATTCACAGCACAACCAACCACTACATGAGGCACCAGACCAGGAAGTCAAATACCGGACCAAGTCACCTTCAACGAGATAGTAACAACCTTAAGCCTCATCTGTCGCCTTGTACATCCATGTAGCTTAGGTTGAGACTTGATCTGTCGACTGCTGGCAGATACATATCGAGCATGTTCCACAACGTTACCAACCTTAACCTTCAAAAGCATCATAGTATAGATCGGGACGGCAACCACGAACCTTCTTAGAGGCCCCGACTGACTGAGCAATGATGCCATCGAAAAGCTGGATCTCTTCATAGACATCCATGACATCAACCAAGGAGCTTAGAGATAAACCTAAACCGCCACTCTGTACTTCTGACATAACAACAGCAACTTCTATCGTGGCCTCCACCGCGTGTGCAAGAACTGCTAACGTCACATCGACCGCGCCAGAACTGCCGATAACCCGCTCTTTAATCGGTTTCCATGGTTCATACATGCGGCCTGAGCATGCTAGTGCTCCATCAATCAGCTGAAGATCATCGTCCTCCTGTGTTCCAATCTTAGTCCTCATGTCAAACTCTATCAGAACAATAGAACACATCTCGATACCTCTCTTAGGGCCAGTCATTTCAATCAGAGAACCCTGCCGCGCAATGACAGGGTCATCCCTGCTGTAGTTTACAATGTAGTTAAGCATGCCATCCCTCTCATCCCGTGCTGCTCTTGTATCCATATACTTGTATCGAGCCGATCGCTGATCGGGCTTTTGGACAGCAGCACCGAGAGAAATTGGAACATGTGTGTGGGCTTGGAGAACATCATTATTGGCTCCAATCGAGTCTCGGTGCGGTCAGCAGGATCACCCTCAACGAAGTCCTCCTGCAGACGCTTGTTGTTGTATATGGCTGCAATTTCGTACGACCCTTGCGGTATGTATGTCGGGATCCATGCATGTATTCGGTGGAAATAAGACGATTCAGATCTGGATGTGCTGATGCTAACGGCGGCTTGAGTGGATCTCCATCTCCTCGTGCTGCAAGCGCTGTAGTAGGCCGCCACTGGCACAAGCGAGGCAGATCGGAGCCAACTCTGGCCCCGTTCGCTTGCTGAAGTTGGTTGAAAAAATAAACCAAAGCTGAATAGTTGTGAGAGAAAAATACTGTTTTGGTTGAAAAAAAAGAAGCCGAACAAACCGGCTTTTTAAGGTAAGCTGAACGGGGCCTCTACCAATAGATCGTAGGAGGGCTTGCAACTGGCGAGATTGGAAGTGGCCAATCACGGCGGCGGCTATTTGAAGCAGCAGTGGCAAGCACGGTCACGCTGTGGTCAAAAGATGGAGTTGCGGAAATTTACAAAGTTGGAAAAACACGAAATGACAAAAAAAACGAAAACACACCTTTTATAAGGGCATTACGGCGAATTTCTTCTGACGATCTTAAGCGCATTCTAGCGAAGCCCACCCCACTACCCGGATCCGTAGATTTCTGAGAGTTGCAATTGAAGTTCAAATCCGTAGAACAGGGCAACAGGCCCAATTGTTTCCGTGGCCAGCCTGAATTGGCAGATCGGCTTGGCACCCGACCCGACCCGACCCAAAAAAGGCGAGAAAATGAGAATTTTGTCCCTATGGGGGAGTGGGCTTCACTAGAATGCCCTTAAGTTTGTGGGTTTCGTCCTTATAAAACGTGTGTTTCACATTATTTTGCCATTTCGTGTTTTTTCTAATTTTATAAATTTCTGACCTCATCTTTTTTATCAGGCGTGACCATTTTACCCCTATCTCCTTCTACCTTATCCTCTTGCTCTGCTCCTCACGGTCACGACAATTTCTCCTTTCTCTCCCGTTCTCTCTCTCCGTCTCGACCGTGTTCAAGTCCGAACCATGCAATATAATAAGTTGGAGTTTCGCCGCCGCCGCCGCCCATCCGTCTGGACGCCATCCTCCGGCTCAAATTTGGTGACGCGCGTTCACTGGCTCTTGAGAATCATGTGATTATTAAAAAGATCAAGGAGTCCAGCTCTGGCGCCGCTTGCTTGTCTCAAATTTGCCGCCGCCACTGCGTCTTCGTTTTGTGTCTTCTCATTCCTCCCTGTGCACTCCTGCAAGTGCTTGTCTATCGACACAACCATCAACTATTGGCACCTACCAACATTCCCGCATCCAACAAGGAGCATACCAGAGCATTGATATGAACTAAGAAAGCAGATAATAAACATGTATTTATCTATAGTTTGTTTTAGCTATAACCTCCATCATATAGGCTGATTAAGACACTCAAATTTTTATATAGTTTTTAGATTTGTATCATAAACTTGGTGCCGATTAGATTTACAAATTGTTGTATTAAACTACATGTTTAGGTTAGATTCATTTATATCACTTGGATTTATATCATACTTGTAGAATGAAGCATTTAATGATGAAATGGCAGCAAGCAAAGAGAGGGAGTTGCGGATACCGCCGCTATCCGACTAGGTGGGAGCGCTTTTTCAAAGGTCTTGTCCACTTTTTAAATCCGCTTCATCACCGCTAGCCTTACTGAGGCCAAATTTATATTCCTACAAGACCACCCAAGTGAATTTCCTAATCATACTTGATTTCATACAAGACCACAAAAGAAGAAAGCCATGAGCTGTTGTGCAAATGGCCTCGAAAGAAGGCGTGAAGCTTGAGCTACCTTCCTCTTTTCCATGTACCTCTCACTTGCCCAATACTTTGACAAAGACGAGCCATCACATCCAAACGAGTTTGATATATCAAATCAGAAACTCTTTTCATTAGATACGCACGCGAGATACCTTGCATACATCACAATTCCGCCCATATGTTATTCCCCAACCGTCATTGCTGCCGCGCTTTCATTTTCCTCATGTTTGGTACCCCCCTCTCTCTCTGTAACTATAGCATCTCAGTTTGTAAATTGAATATCATGCAAAATGGTATATAGGAAGAACAGTAGTAGATTTGAGCCTCCTCCCCAGATTAATAATGGCAGGCACATCCTAGTACCTCTTGGTCCTCCATAACCTTTTTCATTAGGTGGGCTTTGCGTCAAGTTTCTTTTCCCTCGCCCTCTTGCCTTCCCTAACCAATATAGACGCGACTCTTTGGCCGTTGACTTGAGAGTATTGCTCGGTGGGTCTTTGAGAGTTGGCAATGCTATCATCAGCAATGGGCCCCAGAGCTCCCACGGGTGCCTCCACCATGACCGCCTTGGGAATTCCCACCGGACCCATGGCATTGGAGGCTTTGGGTGTTCTCACTGGTGGCTGGGCGGTAGCCGTACATGTCCTGCATTAATATTCTCCATTAGAGAATGTTGCCTCAATCTATCGTGAAAACATAACACATCGAGAACCAAACACATAGCGCTGCGCCATGATGCCCCCACTAAGTCTATATGTACGAAGATTGGCAAACACGTTTTTGTCTTTATATGTCCACGGAGGAAAAGAGTAGAGGTGGTCTGAGTCGCCAGGAGGTCGGAGGGCAGGCGTCGGGCTGGATCCAGGGCACCAGGCCCGAGAGGGAGCTTCGGTCTTGGATCCCGGCGGTCTGAGGGTTTTTGGACCTAGAAACATATACCCGAGTTAACTAGCTTGAAATTTACAGAGAGGAGAGGGAACGGGAGAAAGGAGAAATTGCCGTGGACTGTGAGGGAGCAAGAGCAAGAGGATAAGGTAGAAAGAGACACGGGTAAAACGGTCACAAGCTCACCTTGACCAGCTGGTCAAAAAGATGGAGTCGGAAATTTACAAAGTTGGAAAAAACACGAAATGACAAAAAAAACGTGAAACACACCTTTTATAAGGGCATTCTGGCGAAGCCCACGATCTTAAGCGCATTCTGAGAAGATCCCGGCATCACCCCTAAAGCCCACCCGCCCGTAACGGCAAAATTCCCATTTTCTCAAAAAAAAAAAAGGCAGGGCACTCGCATCAAGCATCCCCGTCCAGAGCGCGAGCGACCCACAGCCACGCCGCCCCGCTGTCTCCGCCCCTCTGCCTCTACGCCTCCCTCCCCCGAATCGCGTCGTCCCGTCTCCTCGTGTCGCGAAACCCTCGGCCATGGCGGAGGCGCCCGAGACCGCCGCCCCCACCCCGCCGCCGCCAGCGCCAGCTCCGGCGCCGGCGACTTCGTCCCCGCCTCCCAAGTCGGGGATCCCGCCGCGGTACGACCTGGACGCCAAGTGGGACGCGTGCCTCGACCTCTCCATCCGCCGCGTCGCCTACTCCTCCCTCGCCGGCGCCTTCGCGGGCCTCCTCCTCTTCCGTAAGGATACTCCCCCATTGCGCTCTGTCTCGTGAGATCTGGTTGCGCCTTGTTTGCTCGGTGTCCTGGCGCTGGATTGCTTGCTGGGTGCGCCTGCTGTTCTAGGGGTAGCGCGACGCGGATGCTCGTCTTCGCTCCATCTTGACCAGCCTGCCCCGATGCCGATGCGGACAAATTGATGCATTCACATTGCACATTGTGCCTGACATATGATTGCTTTTGGGTAGCGTAGATCTCCAATATCGTGCTGTCTGCCTGTCTCCATGATTAACATGGATCGTATTACATAGTTGGCTTGTAGAGTCTTTGCGTCAAGGGTGGTGATATGCTCTATGTGTGCAAGTGAACTTTTCTTAGGCTAATTTTATTGGGTGGTATGGAGGGAGCATTGGACCGATAGGCTGCACTCTGGGAAAATTTAGACTCAACTTGGTGAATGGGGGGATGTTGAAATGTTTGCCTCATCACCTCAATGTTGCTTTCTGGGAGGGTGCTACCTGTGGCTGCGCTGCTTGTTAGGTTCGTGATGCTTTTGGTTGCTAATAAAACTTGTGTGCTTTGGGTTCTTCATACCTGCTGAAGTGCTGACTGCCCTAGTATAACGAAGTTGGATATAGCAACCTTCTTGTAGAATGCAGTTTCCCTTTTAGTGCTGAATCACATGTTGTCTAGAGCTCTGCACTGCATATAAATTGTGGCATCCGATTGCACAGGACATGCATATGTATGATTGAGACTGTTAGTGTTCATTATATGTAATCTTTGTTGAAGTGATATAAAGGGAAATTAGACGAATGGTGAGGGTGAAAATTACTCCCTCCGTCCACAAAGAAATGCAATTCTAGCACAGTACCAAGTTAAAGTATCTTAAGTTTGACTAAATATATATAAAAAAACATCAATATTAAGTATTGTTAGATTTTTCATGAGATTTATTTTCGTAGTATACTTATTTGGTGTCATAAATATTAATTTTTTACCAATATATTTGGTCAAACTTTAGGCACTTTAACCAAAGAATGCATCTAGAATTGCATTCTTTTTGGGACGGAGGTAGTATGTTGCTCATGCCTAATTGTAAGCAGTACAGGGACACACTGTGTTACGACTTTTGGTGATTTATTAGTTTGCTACTTACAGTGAATACTATAATTTTGTTTGCACAACATGTTTGCCGCTAAAATTGCCAATCAACTATACTACTATAGCATTAGCATATATATGTATTATATATTCTAGGCGATCGTTAAAAGCCATCTGAAAATCATTATCTGATTATCAATTAGTTTCCTGTCTTTTGTTTACGGTATAATGTACAGCCCTTTTACTTGCAATGCTTATTTTTTTCCAGAAGTTGCCTTTTTTATTAAAAAAAAAAAGTGCAGTTTGTTTCCTGTTTACTGTTTTTTTGTGAATTGCACTTCTTTCTTTTATATGCTATAATGCCTCTTATGTTTCAAGTCCTTATATTCTGAATTGAGATTGTTTCCTGTGTACTGTCTTTTATTTTTGGTTCGTAAGTACTTTAGCTGTTTATTTTTGTGGTTATGTCTGTCAAGCAGTAATATGCTATTCTAGTTCCACCAAACTTCCCAAATTATTATTAAACCTGCACATCTTAACTTTTTGAACCATTGATAGGCATACACAGAAAATACTAATTTCAAGCGGTGAAACTTTTACTTGCTTGATACAGTGACTATTTAATTTATATTTGTTTTCATGCGGACCTTTTATTTGTTTGTACAGGTAGCCCTACTACTCGCTGGGCATCAGTTGCCCATGGAGCTGGTGTGGGGATAGGGGCTGCATACACTGAATGCTCATACTTATTCAATGGTGCTCCTCCAAAGTGGTCACCCAAAGTCTCAACTATTCTTTCTGCTCACTCTGAAGTAATTGCTCTCTTATTCTCCCTTAATCCTGCTTGAACACTCTGCTGACTGGTTTAAACGTCATTATTGCATAACTATAGTCTTCTACTAAATTGCGAGAGATGGTTCCCTCTTTTTGCTTGACCATTGTGTCTTCTTTTTGCTTGACCATTGTGTCTTTGGTAGAGTTACTCGCTTTCTCTGATTATGAAAGACAAGTTATACTGATTTTGGCTATTCATTAGGCATATTATTTCACAGATAATATGGTTGTCTAAATTCTGAAATGATATAGCCTGCCTAGTGCCTAGTGCATTTATCTTCCAGTTTTGGGACTTAATCGGTGGCATAGCTAGCAATTTCAGAAGAACTCTCATGATCTTCTGACTTCAACTGGCTTAGCGTATTTTTTGGATGCTTTCTTATAAATACCCACTTGTGGTAATCTCAGAAGAGAAAATTGGTGTACAGAAAAAAAAAGGAATGATAACGAAAAACACAGAACCAGGGTATGGGAGTACTTCTGTAACTATGGATTCTTGTAGTAGTATATTCTGCTACTGCTTGTGTTTTATTTGTTTTGCTTATCTTATCTAGAAGGCTAGTAGCATGTTTAAAACTCATTGTCTATCAGAAATCCTTTAAATGACCATATCCCAGGTCAGCTACATTTTGAGCAATCAGGTATAGTTTTGTTTTATTTTATAGCACACATGAGCCGTGAGGATCGCGTATGCTTCAGCAAAACAACTATGAGACAAATTAGCTGTGATGAAGTGAAGTGATGATAATCCGTGTAGTTTTGTATTGCTGTCCTTGTGTGAACTACAGGACAAATTAGCTGTGATGAAGTGATGATTATGAATTTGGTGCTGGTGGTAGAATGTAATGCTAGTGGTGAACCTATGCTTGTATATATTCTTATTGACGTCTCTTTTTATTGCCCTTTTGGTAGGGAGAAGACAAGTAAACCCTTACAGATAAATCGGCCCATCTCGGTGGAGTTTTGGAGTGTGTGAAGTACTGGTTGTTTCCTGCTGGATATTGCACTACTTGTGGCCATAGTATGTCATTAAAGTTAGATGCGCCTCACTTGAGAGTTTTGTTGCAAACCTATTCCAATTGTGGTCTGAATGTCTGATGGCCCCCCTGGCAAAGAGCTTTTGCAAGCTGACGTTGAAACGGTGGCTTGGTGACCGGAAATAAATTTTTCATAATGTGAACTTGTTCTCAGAATGCTTTGCGCCTTACATGAGTATATACATTTACACATTGCACGGCCCGTTTCTGACTTTCTGGGGCTATTATTGCCTAAGCCTGTGAGTGTTGCACACTAGCACTTTTCAGTTCGTTCCCTGCATGTGCATACTTCTGAGTTGTCTCCGTCTCTCTGAGTAAGGGATGCATTAAGTCGCCACTCCATCCGTTCTAAAAAAAGAATGCAATTCTTTTTTTTCCCAGTCCCTCTGTCTCCAAAAGAATGCAATAGAATGCAATGCTTGTTTTTTGAGAAGTCAGACAATTTAAAGTTAGTTAAATTTTTGGGACAATTGTCTTTTGGACATCCAAAGTGATGGTCATTTGTTGGCGGACATCCACTTTGGAGCATTTTACCAGAAGACACTCTGGTTCGGTGAAATTAGGTCATAGGACACCGCAGACCGGTTGTAGCCGGTTGAGGAGAGAGATTAGCTGTGAAATAATATTCTTGTCCCTGCCGCTTTCTTTTTCCCCTCTCGCTTTTCTCAAGGGCCCACAAGATGGAAGGAGACCCCATGAGGCAACAATGATATGAAATCCCCCATCGCCTCCACTTTTCGCTCTCTCTCTCTCTCTGACTCGCCCGCTCCTATTCACCGCTCCGCCATCGCCGGCGACGACTCCACTCCGGCGACCCCACCGACGTCGGGCCCCGCACCCCATTCCTTCGATCGCCGCCTCACGCCTTGCGCTCCCCCCCTGGCGAGGGTCCGTGCTCCTGCCCAGATCTGCCCCGCTTGCTCGCGCCCTTGTCCGCGCGCACCGATCGGCAGGCGGCGTAGGCGCCGCCGCTGCTGCACGAGTGAGCAAGCGAGCGAGCAGCGGATCCGTCGATCCGCGCGCCCGCCATGGACGACTTCCAGGACCTGCTGGCCCACGACTTCGGCCTCCGCCCGTAGGGGAAGGCCACGCCCATGTCGGCCGCGCGCTCCTCGAGGCCCTCCGAATCTGCCTGGACCAATACCAGATCCGCTGTGGGGTCCGCCTCCGCGGCGCCGCCCCGTCCGCGCCCTCCTACGACGAGCTCTTAGGGTCTGCCCCGCCGCAGCCGCCCAAGGCCATGCCGTCGCCGTCGCTCGACAACATCTTCGACTCGTTCAAGGACCCCGCCGCTTGCACCGCGCCGCCGCCGCCGAAGCCGAAGCACTCGTCCATGCCGGTGTTCGACAAGCCGGTCTACGACGACGACATCCTAAGCCTAGACGACGACGACACGCGCGTGGGGCTCGTGGCGGATAGCGCCGTGGACGCGCTCTCCGTCGCAGTGTCCCGGCGCTGACGGCGCTGATGGGGCTCCTCCGCCACGGGGGCCTGCGGGAGCGCCACGAAGCCGCCACAGCGCTCTTCGAGCTCTGCAAGCTGTCGGAGAACCGCTGTCGCGCGGTGCGCGAGGGCGCAGCGCTCGCGCTCGCGGACTTCGCTGCCGACGGCTCCGCGCGTGCCGTCGTGCGGAAGGCGGAGAGGGTGGCGGGGACAGGAAACAGAAAAAAGAGAAAGGGAGAGAGGAAGAAGAAAGCAGCAGGAGCAAGAATGTTATTTCACCGCTGTTTTCTCTCCTCAACCGGTTGCATCCGGTCCGCGGTGTCCTGTGGCCTAATTTCACCGAACCAGAGTGTCTTCTAGCAAAATACTCTAAAAATGAGTATCCGCCAGCAAAGGACCATCACTTTGGATGTCGAATAGACAATTGCCCCTAAATTTTTATATAAAAAAGACACTCATTTATGGTACCAAAATGAGTATGGTCAGATTATTCATGTAGTCCATCCATTCTAAATTACAAGTTATTTTGGCATTTTTAGGTTCATACTAGCTTTTGCTTTTGACAGACATAACGTAAAAACTTATTTGGAGGCATATATTCATATTATTTTCCTAAAACTTGTTAAATTTAAGAAAAGTGACTTCAAATCTAGAATTGCCTTTTTTTAACGGTTGGCATGTGCAGATAGGCACCATTATCGAGGTGTCGGTGTTTTGAACAAACACCAACTAGTAAATTTATATTTGTTATGCGTTAGACCCGGATGGTGCGCTTAAGGACACAAGGTTTATACTGATTCGGGCCAAATGTCCCTACGTCCAGTCTGCTACTGCTTGTGTTATTAGCACTAAAAAAGGTTCGTAGTAGGGGGTACAAACGATCGAGAGAGGGACAGGTCCCAAGTCTCTGATGGAATGGTCGAAAGGATGCCAAGAGCTCAGCTGCTGCTTGGCTGTGCGTTGTGTTTATGATTGATCCATCCTCTTAGTGGGGTGCCCTGCCCTTCCTTTTATAGACCAAGGGGAGCAGGGATTACAGATAGGAGAAAGATGAAAAAACCAGAGGGTAGAGAAGGTCCTTCGAAGGAGCCGGATCTTTCTTTCCTCTTGTGCCTGCCCTGCTGACATGGCAGACCGTGTCAGGGATGACATGTTCACTGATCCTTATAGGGCCGTGCCCTGGCCTCATTCAGCAAGTGGACACGTCCCATCCTACACCGACAGATGGTGCGGCGTGCTAGGGAGCCGAGCTGTGACCCTATGGGAGTAGACGGGGAAGTGACCATACAGACGTCACTGTAGATGATGTGAGTTCTCTCTTGGATCGTAGTGGTTGTCGTATGCTTGTGTCAAGATCCGCGTACAAGGGCTGATGGCGACGCTCACAACACGGTAAGACAAAAGTCGGCGCCTACAACACTGTTCAGGCTCTGTCATGCCTAGAAAAAATTAAAGCACCCGTCCCGTCGTATCCTGACGGTACCTTCCTGCAAGCGTGCAGGGCGTGTTCGTCGGTACTGCGATTGACTCGAATGTCCTGTCTTACCCCATGCTCGTCATTATGAAGGAGCAGGGCTCAGCCATCGGGCGAGGCGGAGCCAGCCCTCAGCCATCGGGTGAGGCGGAGCCAGCCCTCAGACGTCGGGTGAGGCGGAGCCAGCCCTCAGCCATCGGGCGAGGCGGACCCAGCCCTCAGCCATCGGGCGAGGCGGACCCAGCCCTCAGCCGTCTGGCAAGGCGGAGCCTGCCCTCAGCCGTCGGGCAAGGCGGAGCCAGCCCTCAGCCATCGGGCGAGGTGGAGCCAGCCCTCAGACATCGGGGGAGGTGGAGCCTGCCCTCAGACGTCGGGCGAGGCGGAACCAATCTTCAGTCCTCCGGGCAAGAAGTGTAGCTGCGTTCTTGTCTGTTCGGGAGCATCAACGTTTGATGGTTATTAGTTCCACCTCATCGGGTACCCCAGTATTAGGTCCCCGACAGTAGCCCCCGAGCCCCCGAGCCCCCGGGTGATTCGGATAGAATCGCCCGGGGGGTGATTTGACTTGCTAGAGGGTGCGCGCGAGCGCACCCAACGGGTGTAGCCCCCAAGCCCCCGAGTGATTCGGATAGAATCGCCCGGGGGGTATTTCGATTTGCTAGAGGGTGCGCGCGAGCGCACCCGTCAGGTGTAGCCCCCGAGCCCCTAGGTGATTCGGATAGAATCGCTCAGGGGGTAATTTTAGACCCTTCGCGGGTATGGCTGTGAGATTCGGTTTTTGACAACTGGGCAGTTTAAAGGGAACCCTAGTATCCTGTTCACGGGGATTCATCCAGGGTCAACCCGGTTGAGACTTGATTGTGGATCGAGACTCCTTTGAGGCTCGTGCACCTGAGTTTTGGCTGTTTGCGGGCCCATCCCTCGTTGGGACGATCGTCGAAACTATTGGGCCAGCCCTCGAACTCCTGGGCCCAGGTGGGCCAGAGATATGCTTTTTTGACCCATATCCCCTCTGCGGGAAAAGAGTCCTGGTCTGCTCGGGAAGGCGAAACGTCCGGCGCGACCTTGGTGGGAAAGGATAAGGATCGCAGACGCATATGCCACGATGTGATGGGGGGTGTATTGTGGTAGGCACGGAGATCTAGGCAGACGGTTGCCCTTCTTGCATCCGTCGCCCCTATAAAACCAAGGGGTTCGCCCCCAGGGTTCCATACTTTGCCTCCTCATCGTTGCATCTACAACCTCCACCGCCAATCACCTGAGCCTCCCGTGCCCGCATCGTAGCTGCCGCCGCCAAGCTCGCATCCAACCACCCCTCCCAATCATTCGATGGAATCGTGGTGTAGATCTGATATCACCCTTCAGCGCCTAGAGGGCCTTGTTCTCCATGGCCTCCTTTGTCCGCGGACCGCCACCGACGGGTGGCGGTTGCCCGGCAATGAGGACGCGCCGTCGCCGCCCGAAGGGTATGTCATGTCCTTCGCTCACTTCCATGAGCGGGGATTCACCATACCTACCCACAGGTTCCTTCGGGGGCTGTTGGATTACTACAAGGTGGAGTTGCAGCACCTTACTCCTAATGGGGTCCAGCACATTGCGGCGTTCGTCGCCCTGTGTGAGGGGTTCCCGGGGATTAGTCCCCACTTCGACCTGTGGCGGTATCTCTTCGTCGTCAACCTTTTGAAGAAGCGGGTTGGGAAGCAAGAGCTGAGCGTGCTGGTGGGATGTGCCGGCAATCATCTCCGCAACAACCGGGTGAATGAATACCCATCGATACGTCTATCGAGCTCCAACAAGGGGTGGCATTCGCATTGGTTTTATGTCAAGGACAATGTTGCTGCCCCCTTGCCAGCGCTCACTGGGCGCATCATCGAAGAGGTCCCGGAGTCGTGGAAGTGGGGTGTCCTGGACAAAGCCAAGAAGAAGATCAAGGACCATCTCGCCGCCCTCCAAATTCTGAAGGAGAGGGGCATGAAGGGATCGGGGATCATCGGTGCCTACCATACGTGGAGGGTGGCGCCGCTGATGAGCTGCGCACTTCCCCTGTACCTGATGGTGCTCGGGGCGTCGCTCGAAGGGACGGCACTTGTCGACGAAGCGCTCCCCCCTCTGAAGTGGCGCAGCACATCAAGGAGGCGATGGAGCCTTGGAAGGACAACGCCGGTGTTGTCCTTGATTTCGTGTATCCGGTGCCGAGGCATCCCCCAATGCGTCCGGAACCGGGGTTCATCGACTTCATACGATCTCTTTCCCCATGCCTCCTTTTTACTTGAATTTCTGACCCCTTAATGCTGACCTCGGGATAGCGGGACTAGCGGAAGAGACTCATCTTCGTGGATAGCCCTGCTCCGCTGCCGAAGGACTGGCTCGTGGCGATGGCGAATCACACCGTGGTCGAGTGGGATAGGAAGACGAAGGAGCTCAAGAGGAAGAAGATGCTACATAAGCAACAAGCATGGGAGCGAGGAGAGGAGACAGACAGTGACGACGACGACAAGGAGTATGATTAGGTAGTTGCCGACATTGAGTGGGGCGACCTGGGAGGCAAGGACGCGCTGATAGGTGCCCACTCGTTAATGCAGGGACCCTTCCCGTTCCACGCCGGGGAAGTTGCGGCCTTGAGGCCGACGGAGGTGGGCCAGACGGTTGGCCCGTCCTCAGGACCAGTGGGAGCGGACGCATCCGCCGTCGCGCCCGCGGTGCCGGTGGAGGGGGGCGGCTCCACTGCCGCGCCCCATGAGCTGATAGGGGCGGGCGGATCTGCCGCCACGCCCGAGGTGTTGATAGAGAGGGGTGGCTCCGCCGCAGCGCCCTCAGAAGCAAGGGAGACGAGCCCCTCTGCCCAGGAGCAGGGGGCAGGCTCAAAACGGTCCCACCCAGATGAATTGGAGCAGGAATCTGGGGGTTCGTCCCCAAAACGTCCCTACCACCCAACAGCGCCAGCGTAAGTCACCGATTCCTCTGTTTTTTTTATTTTTTGTTTTTTAGTGTGACCTTATGCCTTTTAACTCTTGTAGAGTCTTGAGACGGGGCCATTCTTTGGCGCTGGCGCCCAAGAAGAGCACTGACGAAGTTGCGGGCAGGAGCGGTGCCGATGTTGCGGCCTCGTCGGCCGGTCAGACGCCGCCTGCGGTGGCGCCCATGCCCTCGGCGGGTCAGGCAGATGCCGGGGCTGAAGAAGCGCCCTCAGGGGTCGCCGAGCAAACGGCGACAGAGGTGATTCCACCACCTACGTCGAAGCGGACGGAGCTGCCGCTCGCGCTTGTGGCGCCCTCTGTGGTGGGCGCGGCACCACAAGCCGAGGCCTCGGCATCACAAGCGGAGGTGGCCGCAACCGTGACAAGTCAGGTGTAGCCGGACGCAGCCACGGTGGTGTCCGAGGGAGCGGCGTGATCTGTGCCACCGGCGGCCCAGGCGATGGCGCCCGAGGCGGGCCGGACGAAGGGGACATGGCTGGAGGGTCCTCGGGCATCGTGGCGGTGGTGGAGAGGACCACCGGGGGGTCGCCCTCGGCCCTAACATCGGGGGGCAGCCGCTCGCCC